CTAGAAATGGCGCGCGCTTACGGTCTCCGTCCCCGATTATGGCTCCTGGCTAAGACGAATACCACTGAGCTAAAACAGAAAATATCTGGCTAAACTGCAAATATCTGGCTGAAACCATAAATGTCTGGCTAAAACTCAAAACATCTGGCTAAAACCGAAAATATTTGCATAAAACTGAAATTATCTGTCTAAAGCCGAAATTATCTGGCTGAACCTGAAAATATCTGGCTGAAAATGAAAATATCTGGCTAAAACTGAAAATGTTTTGCTACAGTTACAAACATCTGGCAAAAACCGAAAATATCTGGTTAACACTGAAAATGCCTAGCTAAAACCGAAAATATCTGACTGAAACTAAATCTTATATATAGGCATCGTGTTATAGCTTTGTCCACGTCGACTGTTTACGGTCATATACCTGAATTCGTTTCTTATCATTACCTTGTGTTGTGTTTGTAATAGTGCTGAGTTTTCTGTTGGATTGAGCTGTCATGGCGTCTGTGACGAAACCTGTCCGCTTTCTTTTATTCTCTTTTAGAACGTCCCTTATCTAAAATGAGTTTTTGAATAATGTAAGTCACAGCTAACTGATGAATGAACGACCCATTTGTCCTAAATGGGTCCGTTCCGTTCACCTGTACAGACCTTGGAGGCATTAAACTATTATCATTTTTTCCCCAGCTTCGCAGCGGTCCGGAATACTAAAGCCTTGAATCTGATTGGCTAATCGCGCGCGCTCCAGCGGTCTGGCTTTTCCCATCCGGACCCCGAGCACGGACCGCTCAGAAATTTCCAACTTTGGCAACTTTTCAAGCTTTTTATTGCATCGTAAAACAACGTAAAATGTAAAACATTCAACACAGAGTCAAACAATTATAGATTCTGGCAACAAATTCCGCAAACAGTATCGCTTTTTGACCTCGACTTGTCAAACGCACGCGTACGCCAGATTTGAACCGAACGGCTTTAATTAAAATTCAACGCAAAAGTTGCTTTCAGAGCAATATCAGAAAGTACGTTACTTGCCAGTAAATAACATATATCTATTTCCCTCATTCAACAGGATAATGTTAAAACAAGAATAAGCTAACAGTATCATGACGTTTTTCTTGTACAAATACACCGGAGACGTACCTGCTTGTTGAAAACACAGTGAAAGATAAAGATGAAAAATCCTTGCAGCGAGTTAAAGATTGCAAAGATGTAGTTAAATGCAATCTTGTCAGAGGTCATGGTTAGAACGCCAAAAGACCACGAGATTCCGAGAAGAGGTAACAAGACAAACGAGGCCTTGAGCCCGCGCTGGAATCTCCGTGTCAGCGGCTCTTTTCGAAGACGATGACTAGAGAGCATGCTGTAGATTACGAGCGCAAAGACCACTATATTTCCCTGTTGAAAAAAAAAGAAGGACCACTTAATTATGGTGTTTACAAAGGAAACTGTCTTTTGTGTTCACGTCATGGCTGTTACACGGATACATAAAATAGCAATCGAAACTTACGCTGATAATAAGGAGCGCTGGCACCACAAACGCCCAGAGGATATGATTCCGTGTGGACAGCCAACATGATTGTGGATCAGCATAACCTTGACCACCAGTAGCTGCCAAGGAAACCGCCACAACAAGAGTGGGAAGACCTACAACAATTGGAAAGTAAGTTACTAAGTAAGGTCAATAGTTTATCGGCTCGGGGTTGGATTCTGGGTTTTTTTTTAATAAAAAGCGACTTGTAGGTGTATCGTGGAGAAGCGGTGGCCTCATGGCTAGTGCGCTCGTCTACGGATCGAGCGGTACGGGTTCGAGCCCTGGCCGGGGACATTTTCTTTTGTTCTTTTGCAAGACACTACTCTAACAGTGCCTTCTCCACCCAGGTGTATAAATGGGTACCGGGGAATTTAATGCTGGGGGTAACCCTGCGATGGACTAGCATCCCATCAAGGGGGGAGTAGAAATACTCCTAGTCGCTTTATGCAACTGAAACCGGAGATATGTGCCAACGTACATTTTACAGAACTGTTTAACTATTCGCTGTTACACATTTATATATCAGAGTGGAATTACTTGCTTTGCTTCTTACAAAGTGACTAGCCAGGAGAAGGCATCGTGGCCGAGGGATCAGCGCGTCGGACTCGCAATCCAGCGGTCCCGGGTTCTAGTCCCGTTCTGACCACTATCTGGATTTGTCTCTTGGTAGCCCCGAGTTCAAATCCTCGGCCACGCTTGTAAAAAGGCAACTGCTTTGCCTCCGGTCAGTTGGGATTCTTAACAATGTTATGTTCAATTTGAATTATTTGTTTCAGTTGTTTGCTCGGCCTCACTAGCACTTGTGTTATAAACATTGCCGAGGGTAAATAAAGGTTATAGTTATTTATTTTTTTTTATACTAGGCTGTGAACTTTGACATAAAACACAACTACAGAGACTGTGGGCCTGTAAACATCGTTTCCGATAGTACAATGACTATAACCAGTTTTTCCTGTTAGTTACTGTCGACCAACGTTATTAAGCTAAGTAACTCAGTGAAACATACGACATGCATCTACAATCCTGGCCAAAAGTTCTTTGGACTCTTGACAAAACGACAACTGGCGACGCATTGTTTTGAAGTGGAAAGTCATTATTTAAATAGCCGAGCACCCTCCCCCCTCCAAAACAATGTTAGAATAGTGGGTCTACTTTGGATGAATCAACATCAACATTGTGTTGGGGGTGGGAAGGGGGAGGTGGACAGTAAGATCATATGTTAGCAAAAGTGCAAAGTGTCCCAAGACTTTTGACCAGAATTGTAGCTCTCTTTGCACCTTCCTACGAAAGGCACCGGTAATTGAAAGCTTTGGATCTGCACCTATTAATTGCTAAAACGTAGAACTGGACCTTACCCCATCCCAGACAGTAGAAGACTCTCATGTGTGCATGGGCTGCCTCTCCAATCACTTTGACAATGGAGAAATACAGCTGCACCCCCTCTGACAACATCCAACAGAATATCGAGAGGATGAAGAAGTGAAGCAGTGCAGCCAGAACAGTACAGCCAGTCTAGAAGGGAATTATAAAGTAACTGAGAAAACATGTTTGAGTGGTTATCAGTTGAGTGTCGAAAGTAATCAGGCAATTACTTTGGTTTTGGATTTGGTTTTACTACGGTTTGAGATTAGCTGAGAAGTCTAATTGGTAAGTAATTGGTTTGTTTTTGATTTTACGACACTCAATTGAAAACCGCTCTAAATGGCGCGATTGCTGAGGAATTGAGTCATGTCACTGGCTTCATGGTTGGCGCACTTGCCCGGGATAACATATTTCTTTGCTGTTAGATCTGTTTTCAATTGAGTGTTGTAAAACCAAAACCAAACCAATTACTTACCAATTATACTACTCAGCCAACTGACAAATCGTAGTAAACCAAGACCAAAACCAAAGTAATTGACTGATGACCTTCGACACTCAATCGTAAACTGCTAGCTCTCTACCAGAGGATCCTTGCTTTTGTTTAGGTTTTGTGTAATAAGAAACCAATCTTGATCCAAATGCCACAAGCTTCTATTTCCATAGAATGAATCTTCTAGACTGACATTATATCTTTCTCAGTAGCAGCTTTCATATATCAATATCGCATCATCCATTAATCTACTACTGTGTATACCTCTACTTGGTAACCTACCTTGTTCTGCACATCAGCAATCTCCATGGCAATTATCAACACGTCTGTCATGGCTATGGCAACACAAAGATTTACAAGGACTCTTGTTCTCGGAGAGCGCAAATTCTTCCAGAAATACATCATAACTAACAAGGTGATCAGGATTCCAATGAGGGACAATGTACATCCTACTATGGATATCCAGGAAAGCGCAGCACGGTCAATGGCATCTGTTTTCTGTAACCACACATGCTCGTAAGAAAATTGCTAAAGCAAATACAGAATGCATCATTGTAATTTACCAAAGGCATGCACCGTAGCTCCGTTAAGAAATTAGAGAGGTTTTCCATTGAATGTTTTGGGTAAATGGCCTCCTTTTCTCCGATTTTGCGTTTGCTTATCTTTAAAGTTGGTTTAACAAAAAAACTTATGCGACCTGTTGTAGCTTTAAATCTCAACAGACCAATTCTTTCCAATATTCCAGAAAAAAAAAATGCAAGCTTATCTCAATTTTTGGGCGCTTTCTCGGCGCTCGTTGCACGTGTTCCCGTGCTTGGCATACGTATGTTTTTCCAATATTCCAGGAAACAAATGCAAACTTATCTCGACTTTTGGGAACTTTCTGCACTCGGCGCTCGTTGCATGTGTTCCCGTGCTTGGCACTCGTATGCTTTCCCGCGCTTGACACCCGCTGTATGTTTTCACGCGCTAGGCAACCGTTGTGTGTTTCCTCGCGCTTGGCACCCGTTGTATGTTTTCCCGCGCTTGACACCCGTTGTATGTGTGTTTGTTATGATTGGTCCGTTTTGATAACTTTGGCAACTAAATATTGGAAAACCAGGCTACATGGTTTCTGCTATGGCACGTTTGGTTACCTTGTCATTACTGGTCTCCATCAATACAGCGAACAGGGTCATGTGATCGCAAGCGCAGGTTGTAGTTGTCCTGTTTGTTCTCGGGGAGACAACACTACATCCTTCCGTTGACCAAGCTTTGTTGTGATCTCCGGAGAGATTTAGGAATACGCACATTCTGTTGCTACTTGCTATGGTAACCTTGGTCAGAATAAATACGAACAGATGGATTAAAACAACATCAATCGTCGCATCGACATCTTATCTCCGAGAGCTGACCGACCTTGTGGTTTTTTGGTGTTGATAAGAAACGCGATGTATATCTTGGGGTCAAGCTGTCCTTAGCGTTATAAATTATGACACACTCGTTAGTCTCTTACTATTATTGATAGGAACACAGCTAATTAAGAGTGCTTTAAATTGCACGAATCAAAAAACTGAATTCCTTCCCAGAACATAAACGATTAAGCTCATTACAGCAGTTATTACAGTGCGACTACTCGAACCAGGCTTCTTAGAAAAGAGTTAACCAATAAGAACGTTACTTGAGAACAAATGATCGTGATCTTTTCCTCAAATAAACCAATAACATTAAAGAATACGAACAATAGATCTTAACAAAATTGCCGGATAACCCAACACAGTGCGATGTGTTGTGAACCTCTCAGGAAGCTTTGCCATTTGTTGATTTGTTCGTTTCGATCCTAAATTTTTTACGCTTTTCAAAGGTTTAGGTATAATTGTGGCAAAATGAGTTTTCGAGCTCATTTTTCGAGCAAGAAATATAATTATGATAATTTGCCGTCAAGGACTGAATCTCTAAGCCTGTATATAATGTAGAGGGGTCGACAGTGTTTATGTTTTCACGTGAAACAGACCGTCCGTTATTTGCCGTCACGAGGAGCTACCAGTCCAGTGTTCTCGGTTAACGCTTTGATTAGTTTTATTTTCTCTAGGTGGCCCAGTTCGAGTGGTTGCACTATAAAAGATATTGGGTCACCAATGACAAAATTTTCTGTGTTTTCAACGCGGCAATCTTTCACCAAGAAGACGCACTCCTTAAAAATGTTTAACCACGTGACGACTAAAATACTTTATTATTTGGTGGGTATACATCTACACTTTTCTTACATGTTGAGAAGAAATCAATAAGTTACCTTGTTCGTTTCTAGAGCTAATTTAAATGGAGGTTTTATGACGTCAGGTGGGCGTGGCCTGACCGTAATGGACGCCAGCCTCGAGTTCAGGAACCAATCAGAACTATTGGAATGGGACGTGTTAAGCTCCTTAAGTGCTTCCGTGTTTGTGAGAACGTTACCCAAGGTCGAGAAAATCACGCTGACTATGGTAACTGAGTCGTTTGTTTGGCTGAAGAATGTTGGTGGTAGATAAAGCGAACTTTGTCCATGAATCATCCGTAGGCCTTCTGACGCAGCCTATAGGATTTAAAAGGAGGGAACGCAAGTGTTAAGGGTGCTATGGATCCGGGGGGGCTCCCATATAAAAAGGACGGGGGTGCTCGTCGTACCATTTTGGTACCTCTTTGGGTGTTCAGGCTCAAAATATCCACAGTGGGAGCTATCGCGGCACCTTTTTGGGTATTGTGCCGAGAAAAATATTTGATTTTATTTCACCGTTTCGTTTATATTACAATGAACAACAGGACTGAGATTTTTGACAATGCTTTCAAACTTTACGAGTAGAAGGTATTCGAAGCAATCGTCTTTCAGTCGCTATTAAAAATTATGAAAGTGTCAGTTAATGTGTCGTTCCAAAATTTTTACCTTTCAGGGGGAATAAAATTTCAAGCCACGCCCACAAAATAGGATCTTGGTACCTATTAGGGTTCATTTCAAAATTTCGGACGAGCGTCCCCGTCCTCTCTATATGGCAGACCCCCGAGAAGTTTCATCTTAGGTTGGGATTCTGTCTACGAGAATTTACTCTCGGGACAGGCACTTTTCGTCATGGATGTTACATCATAGGAAGGTAAATGACAAACCACTATTACGTCATGTTCACGCGACAACTTTCGGAATATCGGCCAGTTTTCGCGTTTTTTTTCTGACTGGGTAGTAAAGGAGTTCAGTCAGGGCATTTTGGCCGTGGAAAAAATTACCTTTAAACTGAAGGAAACCTGAAAATAACAGTTTACCAAGATAGAAAAACATCAAAGAGAGAATAATAAACCATTAAGAAACAAGGATGTTTAAGGATGGAGAAGATTAACACGGATTACAAACGACGAACTTAGAAAATTTAGGCTAACCTTTTGAAGATGTGAAACAGTGACGTAGCTCCTTTACGACTAACTCTTATGACTAACTCTTTAAGTTCTTCTAAACAAATACGTCAAAGCAAGATGTATATTGCCCAGAAAGTAAATTTTAGTTTTTGTCTTAAATCAGATTAACTCGATGATTGGATATTTTCGACTTACAGAACTGTTAGCTGAAACCTTGACTGCGATCAAAACAACGTTGTCAGCTTGTATGTGAATGTCCCTTTTCTTGTTCATAGAATGATGTCCGTATTCACTGAGCGCTGACACCATCCTGTATGCTAGATCATCTTCTGTCTGCGGGAGCACAAACCAGGAAAATGTAGTTATTGAATATCAAAATTAAGAATACAAAGTCGTATAGATTCAGTTAATGAACTCCTTTAAAGTTTTCCCAAAAGTGGCACTTGTTCAATCGATCGATATATCGATCAATCAATGAATCAATCAATGAATCGATCAATGAATCAATCAACCAACCAACCAACCAACCAACCAATCAATCAATCACTCACTCACTCACTCACTCACTCACTCACTCAATCAATCAATCAATCAATCAATCAATCAATCAATCAATCAATTTTATTNAATCTCTGTCCCATTGGAACGAGATCTTCGAGAGAACGAGATAGTTCTGAAAGGGTTTTGTAGGCACTTTTCCCGGTTCCTTATTATTGATATTAATAAGGATTTAAATTTATAAATTACCTTGAGTGCAGTCTTCCAAGCTGGCAGATTAGACAGTTCTAGCAAGTTGCTAGAGGTCTTTACCAAGTTACTGATGTCGTGGTTATTGCTAAGAGGTCTTGTTCTGCTTGCCGCGTTGTAGTTAGTCAGTCTTGTAAGTGCATCAACAGAAGCTGCTAGATCTTTTTCGAACAGTGACCTCGAATTCTCTCCCGGTCTTGGAGCTCTGTAAGCAGCTGTGACGCTTTCTAAATCTTCAAGGATGCTGGTTAACGTTCTGCTGACTGCATATCCTTCTGTCACTGCTAATATCTGCAAGATTGTGAAAGAAAAATGGAAGATTGTGTTGCCATAGAAATCCCTGTAAACGAGGTTCCTGTTGGTTACCAATATGTTTGGATTCCAGACAAGCCAAGATATGGTTCATAAAGTAGTAGACGGCGGGCCACAGCAATTCCACCAGCTTATTTTGTAAGGAGCGCAATTACACACCTTCACCTTAAAGATTCTCATAACCTGATATGATAAAATTGATTTCGCATATGTAGTTTTGAGTCATGCTTTTAATTAATCACAAAGCTAGGGAACATAAAAATTGATTGCTTTCCTCCTTACTTCATTGTGTATTTCCTGTACTTCATTTGACATGCAGTTTGAGAAGTTGGCTTCATCCCACTGGGCAGTTCCGGGGTCGACTTTAAGACAAGGTCTCACTGCTGTTCCTGAAGTGGAAAAGTAGAATCCAGTTGAGCAACAATATCACCAAGAAATTCAACATTATAACAAGTTCTGATGAAATTAACTGTTAGTTACTGTTTTACGAAGAGGGACTTTTTTATACAGACGTCTCCCGTTAGTCCTCTTGAAGGTAAATATAGCACACTAAGAGTTTTTTGACCTCAGGGATACTACGGAGATTTCAACAGTAAGGATATTGAAGGGAGGGCATAGAATCAAACTTTTTCTTTATTTATTTAAACAATATTTGCCTTAGGAGCAGAACATGCTCATCAAGAGAGTTTATACCGTCTATAAATAATAATTATTATGCTTTGCACATCGTTTACACAACTATCAATAATTGAGCAGCGAATACTTGCATGGCCGATATATGTAGACTTATTAAATGAAATATCTCGTGTTACAGGTTTAAGGAGGATTAGTAAACCTTTTTCTCACCAGTGGCATTAGGACATCGCTGAATGTCGTTCATTCCGGCTGACGTGGGCATCCATGTGACTCCATACGAAACTTCACGTACACAGACAGCTTTATCTCCTAAAAGTCATAGTAAACGTACGTTACTATTAAAGGTTTAAGTCTGCATACGAGCCAAGTGGCCCACTAGGCTGGAGATTATCCCGGTTTCTCTATCATAAATTGACTGGGAGTATTTGTTCTTTCTCCTGGACGGGATGCTAGTAAATCGCAGGGTTACCCCAGTATTAAATTCGCTGGTGCTCATTTATACACCTTGGTGGATAAATGGAGAGGCGCTGTGAGAGTAAGGTGTCTTGCCCAAGAACATAAAACAATGTCCCTGGGTCATTGCTTGAACTCGGACCGTTCGATCCCGAGACGAACGCACTAACCATGAGGCCACCGCGCCCCCAAATGTTAGTATGCTTGTTGACTATACTACGGGAGAAGGTACTTCTTCAATCGATCTCTTTAGTTACCTTTATGCAGGACTACTAGTTTGGCTGAGGGACTAGAACCGAGTCCATCAGTATTTCTGACGGAACATCTATAAAGTACCACATGACTCTCCATGTTGTCAGCCAGTGTTCCTTGAACAGTGAACGCAAATGAATCGTTGTGGCTGCTGATGAGTTTCTCTTGACTGTTTCCCTCCTTCTCGTACCAGGTCACGTGTAACCTTGATATGTTGCCACGTGACAAATAACATTGAAATGTGACGCTTTCACCTGAAAAATTATTAGTAGAACCAAATTTAGAAAAACTGGAGACAATGAAATTATCGTGGATTAAAGCAAAGTACCAACCTGCTAAAGATTATTTCTGAAGTGATTTAATTATTTCTTGAAGGAGCTCAGTCGCGATATTTTGAGTTATTTTGGGCACGTACAAAATTAGCTTTAAATTGAAGGAAACCTGAAAATAATAGTTTACTTAGATA